AAGCTGATCACTGACACCAAGAAGTTCAAAATAGAAGAACAAGGTGCATCCCGTTGTCTGGTTGTTCAACAGGTGGAGAAGAAAGATGCAGGTGAATATACCTGCGAAGCTGATGGCCAGAAGCTCACTTTCAAAGTCACGGTTACAGGTACAACTAACTTTATTTTCTCCACATTTCCCATAGAGTTATAAGTGGTCAAATCAATCAGTTTTGGGTTGGTTGTTAAGAAGAGCACTCAGAAGCTCTAATGTGAATAAATGTGTTTTGTCTCCTGCTTCTATGGCTAGATGAAAAAATTAAGGAAGTCTTTGTCAACAAGGAGAAGGTCCAGAAAGACATCAGAGTTGTAGTTTCAGAGGACATTTCTCTCAGCTGTGAGGTGGCCCAGGCCAAGGCGGAAGTTAAATGGTTCAAAGATGGAAAATTGATCACCTCCAACAAAAAATTCAAAGTAGAAGCAGAAGATAGATCCCATCACCTGGTTGTCCAGCAGGCAGAGAAGAAAGATGCAGGTGAATACACCTGTGAAGCAGATGGTCAGATGCTGAAATTCCAAGTAACTGTAACAGGTAGGGGAAAAAAATCCCTTAGTCTTTTCCTTCATCATTATATTTCCAGATATAAGTAGCAAATCTACCTAGGTTGACAGAAATTAATAGATATTTTGATGCTTTGATCTATCACAAATATATTTGCTTCTGGGTCCAATTCAAGGTGCTAGTTCTCACCTTCAAAGCCTATGGGGCTTAAAGCCAGCTTATCTGAAGGACCAGATATCTTTTCCCAGTGACATCTACCTGACCACCAGAGCAGGGAGGCAGGGGAAAGTATAAATCCTCTCTCTTAAGGAGGTCCATTCGGTAGGACCAAGAAGCATGGCCTTCTCCGTGGTGGCTTCCTTCCTGGGAAACATCAACTTGCAGAGATAAGATTGGCCATCACCTTTAGAATCTTCTGAAAGACATTTAAGACACGGTTTGGGCAATGGGCCCTGGAACCCCATGGAGATATGGAATCCGTCAAGTGGTTAGTCTGATTGTGGGTGTCTATGGATTTCGATATCAGGATTTCATCTTTGTAAACCATCCAGAGTCAACATGAGTGGTAGGCTATATAAAGTTTCTCAATAAATAAATAATTCAATCAGTCATTCAACATTTTGGCAAATCGATGACCACCAAACAATCCTTCCTGGATCTGGCCAACATACTTGAAAAGATTCAGATTCAGATCTGCCTGTTTCCTACTTCCTGGAATGAGACAATAAGATTCGTTTTTCTAGAAAAATAGTCCAGCTAGCTTCAAATCATGGATGGTTGGTTACTCAAGAGAAAATACATTGAGGTTCAAGAAAGCCACACTTAATTAAAGCAACCATTCATTATAAATAACTGTTCTTAGGGGTTAGACATGTTTCACCTGAGATGGGATGGGACCACAGTCCAGATATTGAGGTTATATCATTATCAGAGGGAGGTTTGGGAGGAGGAGAACTGTGGGGAGCTTGGTTGTTTTCTTGCAAATGTTTCATGATCCAGCTAGGTAACACTATCAGTGCTAGAAAGGAGTGGTGTTTGCAGAGAAGAAGAGGAGGAGGAGAAGAAGTAGGCAGGGGAGGAAGAGGGCTGGGGTTCTTGGTGCCAACCAAGAGAAGATTGAGATGTGCGTTTTGTAGGATACATCTTTGAGTGTTTCTGAAGAACATTTGTTTAGTAGTTAATGGAAACTACCAACTGCCACCAGAAAGAAGCAGTTAACGAACATTTCTGCCTCTTTCCTTCCCTCACCAGATAAAGAAGTTCAGGAGATGTTTGTCAACAAGGAGAAAGTCCAGAAGGACTTCAAGGCTGTGGCTTCAGAGGATCTCTCTCTCAGCTGCGAGGTGGCCCAGGCCAAGACAGAAGTCAAATGGTTCAAGGATGGAAAACTGATCACCTCCAGCAAGAAATTCAAGGTGGAAGCTGAAGGCAGATCCCGGCGTCTGATTATTCAACAGGTGGAGAAGAAGGATGGCGGCGAATACACCTGTGAAGCTGATGGCCAGAAGCTCACATTCAAAGTCACAGTTGCAGGTAGAATTGTCTTACCCTGTTTCTGGATACAAATGTAATCAAGGTGTCACTACATTAACAAACGTAGTTTTTTTGGGTTGCAAAACTGTATCAAGGAAGGTTTTTTATTATTGATTTCAGCCACTGTCATTTAAACTGACTACTGTATAGTTGGATATTCTTGTAGCTTAGAACTTTAGCTGAAAAGGAAACTGCCAAATTAACCTAAAAAGGAAGTGCTTTGTCAATTCCTTCTTCTATTAGACAGAGAAGCTATGGAAGTGTTTGTCAACAAGGAGAAGGTCCAGAAGGACATCAAGGTTGTAGCTTCAGAGAATGCCTCCCTCAGCTGCGAGGTGGCCCAGGCCAAGACAGAAGTCAAATGGTTCAAAGATGGAAAACTGATCACCTCTAGCAAGAAATTCAAGGTGGAAGCTGAAGGCAGATCCCGGTGTCTGGTTGTCCAACAGGTGGAGGAGAAGGATGGAGGTGAATACACCTGTGAAGCTGATAGCCAGAAGCTCACCTTCAAAATCACGGTTGCAGGTACAAACACTTACATATTTTTTTACATCTTCTGATATAGAAAGATAAAACAGACCTAATAATACATTTTTAGTTGATCATCCTCCAGAGGCTCCATTGGAATGGTAGTCCTTGAGTTATGACCTCTATTTGAACTAGAATTTCCATTTCTAAGGGGGTTGTTAAATGAGCCATGTCCAATTTTACATTTTTGCCGCCATTCTTAAGCGGATCAACGTGGTTGTTAAATGAATAACTTTCCTCATCAGAAGCCAGCTGAGAAGGTAGAAATGGTGATCACATTAGTGACAGTTGAAACACCGGCCCTGAAAAGGGTGAATTACGACTGTTTTTCACATAGCCATCACAGCATCCCCATGCTCCCACGATCAAAATTCAGAAGCTCAGCAACAGATTAATATTTTTGATGGTTGCAGTATCCAGGGGTGACTGGGGGTTCGCATGATCCTCTTTTGCGATCCTCTGATAAGTAAAGTCAACGGGAAGGTCAGAATCGCTTAACAACCACGTTACTAACTTAATAACTGCCACGATTCACTACCGTGGCAAGAATGGTCATAAAACGGGGCCAAATTCACTCAGAATCTGTCCTGCCTAGCAATGGAAATTTTGGGCTCAGTTGTGATAATAAGTCAAGGACTGTCTGGGTAGATTATCCAGTATGGATTTTCCTGATATTCATCACATTGGCAATTAGGGAAATGATAAAATAGCCTAAAAGGTGAATGAAGGCATCCTCTCCTTCCAGAGGAATTGAAATGTTTGTCAAGAAGGAGAAGGTTCAGAAAGACATCAGGGCTAGACAAAAAACAGGTTCCTTAAATCCTAAATATTGATTTCTTTTAACCTTTAAAAGTTTTTTTTTGCTTGATCTTGGTCAAGATCTGGAAACTGAGGTGGTACTTGCCAAAGAGGAAAACACCTAGATGTAGGATGACTTGTCTTAGATGGCATAGAATATGTAGCTTGGACCTTCTTGAAGCTCAGAATTTTAGCTTGTAAAGGAAAATGTCAAAATATCCTAAAGAGAAAGTGAATTAAGATGATTTGAACCTTCCTTTCACTATTAGATAGAGAAGCTGAGGAGATTTTTGTCAACAAGGAGAAGATCCAGAAGGATATCAAGGTTGTAGCTTCAGAGAATCTCTCTCTCAGTTGTGAGGTGGCCCAGGCCAAGACAGATGTCAAATGGTTCAAGGATGGAAAATTGATTACCTCCAGCAAGAAATTCAAGGTGGAAGCAGAAGGTAGATCCCGGCATCTGACTGTACAACAGGTGGAAAAGAAAGATGGTGGTGAATACACCTGTGAAGCTGGTGGCCAGAAGCTGAACTTCAAAGTTGCAGTTGTAGGTAGGAACACTTCACTTTCTTCCATACGTTCCTCCCATGTATAAAGATAAAAGTGACTAAACCAATATTATTTTTTATTGATCATTCAGGAGAGCACTGATAGAGCACCCTCAACTTGTGTCCAAATGAATGTGTGTTTCTGCAAACAGTTTTTTCTCTCCTTCTGCAGGGATATACAGGTAGTCCTTGACTCACAACAGTTCATTTAAAGTTACAACGGCAGTGAAAAAAGTCACTTATGACTACTTATATATTGTGGCATCCCCACGATCACATGATCAAAATTCAGATGCTTGGCAACCGATTAATATTGTTGCAGTGTCCCAGAGTCATGTGATCACCTTTTGCAACCATTGGACAGCAAAGTCAATGGGGAAGCCAGAATCACTTAACAACCATGTTACTAACTTAACAAGGGCAATGATTCACTGTGCAAGAAAGGTTGTAAAATGAGAAAAATCATTTAACTGTCTCGCTGAGCAACAGAAATTTTGGGCTCAAATGTGGGTGTAAGTTAAGGACTACCTTTATTTTTGTTTTATTCTTCCTAGTGCATGTAAGTGGACAACTGTTCAGAAATTGGACAAAGGTCATCAGTGTCAAATAGCCCTATAATCATTAGAACAAAAGCTGAATAAGGATTCTGTTAACTTCCAAATCCTACTTTAAATTTTTTGATGGCTCTGCCATGTTTTCTATATCATGCTCAAGGAGTTGGTCAACAAGCGGAAGATCCAGAAGACCTCAATGTTAGACTAAAGAAGGATACTTGGAGCAATAATTAGATATGATTTTTTTTTTAACCTTTAAAAGTAATTTTTTGTCAAGATTGGGAAACCGAAATGGTGTTTTTCCAATTAGGCAAACATCTAGATATAGGATGACATATATTAGATGCTCAGAATTTCTTGAAGCTCAGAATTTTAGATGTAAAGAAATATAACAAAATGTCTTAAAGTGAAAGTGAATTAAGAGGCTTTCTCCATTCCTTCAACCATTAGATAGAGAAGCTGAGCAGATGTTTACCAACAAGGAGAAAGTCCAGAAGGACTTCAAGGCTGTGGCTTCAGAGACCATCTCCCTCAGCTGTGAGGTGGCCCAGGCCAAGGCAGATGTCAAATGGTTCAAGGATGGAAAATTGATCACCTCCAGCAAGAAATTCAAGGTGGAAGCTGAAGGGAGATCCCGGCGTCTGATTGTTCAACAGGTGGAGAAGAAGGATGGAGGCGAATACACCTGTGAAGCTGGTGGCCAGAAGCTCACTTTCAAAGTCGCAGTTGCAGGTGGGAACACATATTTTCCTTTGCGTCTTTCTAAGCGTGAAGATAAAGGTGGCAAAAAATTCTTTTTGGTTTTGCTGGTTGTTCCTTTAAGCTCTAAGAAATCAGCTTAAAGTTAGGTCAGTGCAAAGATTTGTTTCTTAAATGAGTTTTAAACAGCACAGTGCTATAGATCTATTATGCATAGTATATGTAGCTGGGAATCTATCAGAAGTTGAACCCAGCAGCAAAATTTAATCAGTGTTGGACCTGAAAAGAAGTAATAAATATAGCTGAATAAACTGAATTGTAGCTAAACTATACCTTGATTCCTTGAAAACAATATTTTAATGAAGAAACTACCAAGGAGAAAACATATCTCACACCAAAACTGACAGATAAAGCCAAACTCCAGGCCCTCCTAGCCCTGACGGTGTTATGTAATTGGATAATGAAATGTTTGCAAGAAAACCACCAAACTCAGAGAACACCGAGGATCCGTGATGGGACGATGTGTGGAAGGAATAGAAGGGATTTGCACCTTCTGATGTTCATGATTTTAGTCATTAAGAGAAATGAATGAACATATCTTGATTATCTTTTCACTACTAGATAGAGACGCGGAGGAGATCTTTGCCAACAAAGAAAAAATTCAGAAGCACATCAAGACTGTTCCCTCAGAGACTGTCTCTCTCAGCTGTGAGGTGGCCCAGGCCAAGACAGATGTCAGGTGGTTCAAGGATGGAAAACTGATCACTGCCAGCAAGAAATTCAAGGTAGAAGCAGATGGCAGATCCCGGCATCTAATTGTACAACAGGTGGAGAAGAAAGATGCAGGTGAATATACCTGTGAAGCCAATGGCCAGAAGCTGAACTTCAAAGTCACGGTTGCAGGTAGGAAAAGATTTTGCATGCTAATAGAAGAGAATTGTCAGCTGCCCCCTCAAACTTGCATGAACTCACGGTGGGAGCTTAGATGGGAGGGAGGAGAAACTTCACTGTCTCCGAGACGGGCTTCACGGTCAATCGGCTGGGAACTGTACACAACTGCATAGCAAACCTATCATTCAGAAGCGACTGTTCTGAAACATCTTATCTGAACTTGATTAGACATGGGAAGCCAGTGATGTGGGGCAGCAAAAGGAGAGAAAAGTTAGACTTGGGGATTTTGGCGCACGAGTTACAGTTCTGGCTACGCATTTGCTGTAGTTCACTTGACCTTTAGTAATAAATGGAGTTAAGGATTGTTCTTACTAAGAATAATCTAGCTGAGGCAGATCTGAGAGGAATTTTTGTAGGTCAGGGTTTGACACTCTCTGAGCTTGGTGGTTTTCTTGAAGATGTTTCATTGCCCGATTGAGTAACTTAATCTGTCCTAATCATGTCTAAGTATCAGTGGATACATAGAGATAAACAACATTTACACACTTTTCAAAAAAGACAATAGAAAAACTAAGAAGGAAGCAAAAAAACCAGAATGCATCCTCTCCAGCACCTGGCATTTAGATAAGCAAGGATTAACAGCAGACAAATGATCAATCAAAAAATAATACTCTAACCAAAGAGAAAACCATACACACTCCGTATACACTGCTGTATATAAACAAGGAGCCAACCCCACTCCCTTCTTGCACTGATGATGTTCCCTAGCTGGGTCATGGAACATCTGCAGAAAGAGCAACAAGGACTCCACATTTTTCATACTTTTAGAATTAATTATAGTATATTTAGGTATTTCATTTCCAAATGCTTCAGTCATGACTGTTTTGGAACTAATTATTTATGCTAGCCCTAGATTTATTTATTTATTTAGTATATAAGCATCTACAGAAGTCATGCAATTACTGATATAAAGGTAAAACAGTCTCTATGGACTTTACTCTGCTCATCTCTGTTTCAAGGCCATTGAGCCAGTGCTGTCCGAAGACTTTCTGTGGTCATCTGGCCAGCATGCCATCGTGGAGTGTTGTTACCTTTTCACCAAAGTGGTACCAAAGTGATGCTGGAAAACTAGCAACCCAGGTTCGAGGCCCAAACATTGCTACCCATAGTAGCCGAAATAGTTATCTTGAGACATTTTAGGAAATCTAATTTTTTCCCAGTAATATGTTTTTCAGAGGATCTTATGAAAAACAGTGGTATCCATAAATCTAGCTGATTTATTGAACAGGTAGTCCTCAACTTATGTCCACGACCGAGCCCAAAATTTATGTTGATAAATGATAAATTATTAAGTGAATTTTGCCCATTTTACAATCTTTCTTGCCACAGTTGTTAAGTGAATAATTGCAATTGATAAATTAGTAACACAGTTGTTAAGTGAATCTGGCTTCCCCACTTACTTGTCAGATGGTTGCAAAAGAGGATTTGGAGCACTGCAACCATCATAAATATGAACCAGTTACCAAACGTCTGAACTTTGATCAGGTGACCATGGAGATGCTACAATGATCATAAGGATAAATAGTAGTCACAAGTCATTTTTTCAGTACCATTGGAACTCTGAACAGTCACTAAAGCTCATCAGCCTGGAACCCATATTATGTATCTGATATTAGCACAATTGAGAAAGTCCAGAAATATTTCACAAGAAGAGTTCTCCACTCCTCTACTCGTTCCAGAATACCTTATGCCGCCAGACTTGAAACTCTAGACCTAGAAAACCTAGAACTATGCTGCCTCCGGTCCGATCTAAGTATAGTATATAAAATCATACATTGCAAGGTCCTACCTGTCAATGAATACTTCAGCTTCAACCATAACAACACAAGAGATACAATAACCATGATAACACAATAGATACAAACTCAAGGTTAACCGCACCAAACTTGATTGCAGAAAATACGACTTCAGCAACAGAGGGGTCAATGTTTGGAATACTCTGCCTGACTCTGTGGTTTCTTCCCCAAACCCCAAAAACTTTAACCTTAGACTGTCTACCATTGACCTCACCCCCTTCCTAAGAGGCCTGTAGGGGGCGTGCATAAGCGCACCAATCATGCCTACCATAGTATCTATCTCATGTATTCAAAACTATATTTATTCTTATACCTGTATCTTGTAAGCGATTGACAAATCAAATAAATACTAAAATACTGAAATACTAAATGAACTGTTCTAGGTGGAGGATTACCTGTATTGTGAAGTCTTCTTTTTCTTGTAAAAGTTTTATTTGGAATTTTTTTGATATTTTTTGAAAATATCATACAAATAAAATATCTTTTTTGAGAGCAGCATGATTCCAGGTTATCACATCTCCATACAAGACATAATCTCAATTACATATTCATCTTTATATTCTATTTTATATCTTGTCACTATTTTATCCTTTTCTCAATAATTTTTTCTTTCCCTTATTTTCCTCAGCCTTATTTCTGATTGTCTCATTTCTTTCTAATTCAATTATATATCTTTTTCTAAATTTCTATATCTTTCTAGTCATTATATTTGTACTTTTGTTGTCCTGTTTACAATTTCATACATTCTTTTTCCATCATCATCCCGAAAGGGAAAAGAAAACAAAACAAAAACATTTCCCTTCCCTTCCAGGCATTAAAAAGCAAGGTTTCCCCTGTGCTTACCAAATAGAATGTATTACCTTTATATCTTATAGTTGTTATCCATTCAAATCTCATTAGCATTTAATTTATACATTGTACAATTATAACGTTCAGTTTCTAATATCTATTTTATGTCATACAACTCTTATCAACCGAATTCCACTTGGTACTTCCCTTAAAAATACACACTAAATTCTAAAAAAAGAAAAAATATATAACAATAATGAATAAAATGGTTATTCTATTCAAATTCATCCTGACAACTGATATTGATTTCATTATAAATCTTATACATTTCTTTTCAATTATATTTTATAAATCGTTAAGAACAATTAAAGTATTTTCATTCCTTCCTCTTATTCCCTCTACATTTACTTTTGTTTCCTTTATTTCATTTAATTATTAACAAACATTCCACTACATATCAATACCAGTTTTGTCTTTCACTTTAATCACCTATATTTCATATTTTCTAGCTCATTACTATTTCCAATATAACAACACTATCTCTTGTACCCTTGCAGAATCCTCTCTTTCAATTTATATTTTAATCATTATCTCTATGTCTTTTAAATAGGCTAATACCTTTAATCCTTGTACATTTCCCCTGTTTCTTTATTTCCTGTTTCTGTCCCTTATAACTTCTTTTCCTTTTTATCTCTCCCCTCTTTTTCTCACCACCTTTTTTGTCCCCCTTTTTTTGTCTGATTCTCCTTTCTGTAATCCTCTTTTCTGCTTCATATTGTGAAGTCTTCTTATGCTTCTACAGGTAGTCCTCATCTTACAACCATTCAGTTAACACCTCTTCAAAGTTACAGCAGCACTGAAAAAAATAACGTATGGACAATTTTCACAATAACGACTGGCCCAGCGTCCCTATGGTCACATGATCAAAATTAGGTTATTTGGCAGCTAGCATATATTTACAAAAGTCGCAGTATTATGAGATTATGTGATCACTATTTATAACCTTTCCAACTGCTTCTGACAAGCAAATGTACTGATTCCGTTAATGAACACATGATTTACTTAATCGCAGTGATTTGCATAACAACCATGGCAAAAAAGGTCAGGCACAACTCACTTAACCACCTCCTTTTTAAAAAACAGAAATTCTAGTTCCAATTATGATTGTAAGTTGAGGACGAGCTGTCTGTACTTTATACCTGAAGAATGATGATAGAGTAATTTCTCTTACGGAGGATGCGATCTACTGTCTGGTGATTCCAGAAAGAAAGACTACAATTTAAAACAAAGTTGAAAAGTTGAATTTTGATTATCTTCTTCTTCAACTCAAATGCAAAAGATGAGGAGATGTTTGTCAACAAGGAGAAGATCCAGAAGGATATCAAGGTTGTAGCTTCAGAGAACATTTCTCTCAGCTGTGAGGTGGCCCAGGCCAAGACAGAAGTCAAATGGTTCAAGGATGGAAAATTGATCACTTCCAACAAAAAATTCAAAGTGGAAGCAGAGAGTAGATCCTGGTGTGTGATTGTTCAACAGGTGGAGAAAAAAGATAGTGGTGAATACACCTGTGAAGCTGACGGCCAGAAACTCACCTTCAAAGTCACAGTTGCAGGTGTAACCAGATTTATATTATCTGCATCTCCCATACAAGAGTGATAAAAGTGGTCAAACCAATTCAATTTTGGTTGAGTGATCAGAGAAGCTCTCAGAAGTGTAAGAGAACACCTTCAAGTTGTTGTCAAGGAGAAAGTTTGCTTTGGCCAACAGTTTTAGGTAGCACAACTATATTATCCATGTTATATGTAGTTGGAAATCTGGCTGTATTTCAACACCACCACAAAAATGGATGAGCATTAGACACCAATGAAAACATGAAAATCTATATAAGGATGCTGGTTACCTTCTAGGTAGTACTTTTAAAATCTGGCTTGATTTGGCTGAGAACTTCAGGATGAGTTTGGCAAGAAAAGAACAGCCATATGGAGGATAACATAATAACAGGATTGGAAAGGAACTTGGAGGTCCAAGCCCTTGCTCAAGCAGGAAACTCTCTACTATTTCAAATAAATGGTTCTCCAATCTCTTCTTAAAAACTCCCACAACTTCTGGAGGGAAGCCGTCCCACTGATTAATTGTTCTACTATCCATGGAGATTCTCAGTCATCCACGTCAGGATTGTCCCAAAGCTGCTTTTTCAAGAGGCAGCCAGACTTTCCGGTTTTTCTTTTCTTTGAAGACATTTTGCTTCTCACCCAAGGAGCTTCTTCAGCTCTCACTGTCGATTTCAGTGTTCTCTCTGTCAGGAAATTTCTCCTTAAATTCCAGGTTGCTTCTTTCCTTGCTTAGTTTCCATTCATTGCTTCTTCTCCTGCCTTTAGTTGCTTTGGAGAATAGGTAGAGCCCCTCTTCTTTGTGGCAATCCTCAGATATTAGAAGACGGTTATTATATTACACCTAGTCCTCCTTTACATGAAACTAGACCTACCCAATTCCTGCCACCTTTCTTCATATGTTTTAGCCTCAGCCCGCTAATAAATGTTGTTGCTTTTCTCTGCACTCTTTTCAGAGGCTCAACATCTTTTTTATATCGTGGCAACCAAAACTGGAATGGCATTAACACTTCACGTTATGTTGATTCTATCCCTCTATTAATGCAGCTTAGGGCTGTGTTGGCTTTTTTGGCAGCTGTAAAACACTGTGAGCTCATATATAGGTGATTGTCACTTAATGAGGATGACCAAGATATGAGGATGACCATATTTTATGGAGCATGAATGCATAGATGACAGCTCCTTTTTAAAGCTCATTACTTCAAGTGTTAAATGTGTCTTGTTCTCTATTCCCACTTCTAAGATGAAAAAGTTAAAGAGGTGTTTGTCAACAAAGAAAAAGTCCAGGAGGACATCAAGGTTGTAGCTTCAGAGGATGTCTCTCTCAGCTGTGAAGTGGCCCAGGCCAAGGCAGAAGTGAAATGGTTCAAAGATGGAAAACTGATCACCTCCAGCAAGAAATTCAAAGTAGAAGCACAAGGTGGATCCCGTTGTCTCATTGTGCAACAGGTGGAGAAGAAAGATGCAGGTGAATACACCTGTGAAGCTGATGGCCAGAAACTAACTTTCAAAATCACAGTTGCAGGTAAAATGCCTTTATATTACATATACAATCTGTCTGTCGGTCTGTCGGTCTGTCTGTGTGTCAAAATGTCCTAAAGAGAAAGTGAATTAAGAAGCTTTCTCCATTCCTTCCACATTAGATAGAGACGCTGAGATGTTTACCAACAAGGAAAAGGTCCAGAAGGACATCAAGGCTATGGCTTCAGAGACCATCTCCCTCAGCTGTGAGGTGGCCCAGGCCAAGACAGAAGTCAAATGGTTCAAGAATGGGAAATTGATCACCTCCAACAAGAAATTCAAAGTGGAAGCTGAAGGGAGATCCCGGCGTCTGATTGTTCAACAGGTGGAGAAGAAAGATGAAGGTGAATACACCTGTGAAGCTGGTGGCCAGAAGCTCATCTTCAATGTCACCATAGCAGGTAACAAAATACATAGCCTTTTTCTTTATTTTTAGTTATATTGCAGGATATAAACAGGATAGATTCTTTGTATGTTGACAAAGATAGATAGATAGATAGATAGATAGATAGATAGATAGATAGATAGATAGATAGATAGAGTGATAGAGTGATAGATAGATAGAGTGATAGATATGATAATAGATATAAATATAGATATATTGATTGTGACAATTATACTTTTTTTGGAACACGTTATGAATTTGAAATAGCTCAAATATTTCGATTGCATTATTCTATGCTTTCTAAAAACAGAGAATCAGCTCCTATTATATTTCTTTTAGCAAAGAATTCCAGGTAGCTAAAAATCTAATGAAAAAATGAGTTAAACAAAATTAGCAAAAGACCCTAATTCTACAGAACAACAGCCCTGTATGTAGTAATTATTGCTATTTTCTTTGTTTGCTTTTAAAACCCTGCTATGATCATGGTCCAGAAGCTGAGGAGATGTTTGCCAACAAGGAGATGTTCGAGAAGGACCTCAAGGTTGTGGCTACAGAGACCATCTCTCTCAGCTGTGAGGTGGCCCAGGCCAAGACAGAAGTCAAATGGTTCAAAGATGGAAAACTGATCACCTCCAGCAAGAAATTCAAGGTGGAAGCAGAAGGCAGATCCCGGCGTCTGATTATTCAACAGGTGGAGAAGAAGGATGGCGGCGAATACACCTGTGAAGCTGGAAAACAGAAGTTGACTTACAAAGTTGTTGTTGAAGGTGAGAATAACAATTTTGCTCCATATAGAATGAGTCAATATCATAAAGTTTGTTCAACCAGAAAGGCTGAATCTTCTTGTGGTCTTCGGGTGCTATTTGGGCATTCAGGTGATAATCTTTGGGTGCTATTTGGGCATTCTTGAAACCTTTCTCCCTCTCTCTATCCCAGGTGAGTGGGGTGAAAATTATGTAGAAGCAGTTATGAAGTCTTTTGAGTGGGTTACACACTTTGACAGTTAAGTTGACAAAAGTATGGATATTGAATCAGAGAGAAAAGGGGGAAGAGAGAGACAGGGAGATGATAAATAGATGATAGATAGGTAGATAGATGATAGATAGATGGATGGATATAGACACAACTACACTGCTCAAAAAAATAAAGGGAACACTTAAACAACGCAATGTAACTCCAAGTCAATCACACTTCTGTGAAATCAAACTGTCCACTTAGGCAGCAACACTGATTGACAATCAATTTCAGATGCTGTTGTGCAAATAGATTAGACACCAGGTGGAAAGCATTGACTGTTAAGCAAGACATCCCCAATAAAGGAGTGGTTCTGCAGGTGGTAACCACAGACCACTTCTCAGTTCCTATGCTTTCTGGCTGATGGTTTGGTCACTTTTGAACGCTGGTGGTGCTTTCACTCTAGTGGTAGCATGAGATGGAGTCTACAACTCACACAAGTGGCTCAGGTAGTGCAGCTCATCCAGGATGGCACATCAATGTGAGCTGTGACAAGAAGGTTTGCTGTGTCTGTCAGAGTAGTGTCCAGAGCATGGAAGTGCTACCAGGAGACAGGCCAGTACATCAGGAGACATGGAGGAGGCCGTAGGAGGGCAACAACCCAGCATCAGAACCTCTACCTCTGTCTTTGTGCAAGGAGGGACAGGAGAAGCAGTGCCAGGGCCCTGCAAAATGACCTCCAGCAGGCCACAAATGTGCATGTGGCTGCTCAAATGGTCAGAAACAGAGTCCATGAGGGTGGTATGAGGGCCCGACGTCCACAGGTAGAGGTTGTGCTTACAGCCCAACACCGTGCAGGACGTTTGGCATTTGCCAGAGAACACCCAGATTGGCAATACTGGTGCAGTTGGCCCTGGGTTTCTCCTAATGCACGACAATGCTAGACCTCATTTGGCTGGAGTGTGTCAGCAGTTTCTGCAAGACGAAGGCATGGATGCTATGGACTGGCCCGCCCGTTCCCCAGGCCTGAATCCAATTGAGCACATCTGGGACATCATGTCTCGCTCCATCCACCAATGCCACATTGTACCACAGACTGTCCAGGAGTTGGGGGATGCTTTAGTCCAGGTGTGGGAGGAGATCCCTCAGGAGACCATCCGCCACCTCATCAGGAGCATGCCCAGACATTGTAGGGAGGTCATACAGGCATGTGGAGGCCACACACACTACTGAGCCTCAGTTTGATTTGTTTTAAGGACATTACATCAAAGTTGGATCAGCCTGTAGTGTTTTTTTCCACTTTAATTTTGAGTGTAACTCTAAATCCAGACCTCCACGGGTTGCTAAATTTGATTTCCAATGATCATTTTTGCGTGATTTTGTTGTCAGCACATTCAACTATGTAATAAACAAAGTATTTAATAAGAATATTTCATTCATTCAGATCTAGGATGTCTTATTTTTGTGTTCCCTTTATTTTTTTGAGCAGTGTAGAAAGATGGATGGGTGGGTGGGTGGGCGGGCAGGTGGGCGGGTGGGTGAGTGGACGCCCAGACAGATAGGCAGGCAGGCAGGCAGGCAGGCAGACATTTAGAAACATAGAAAGATGAAACAGACAGAAAGACACATAGACATAGAGATGAATGAATATGATGTATGGACGGGTTTGAGAGAGAAAGAGAAAGAGAGAAGTATGGAAGGATGAGATGATGAAGGAATATATAGGTAGGTAGAGATTGAAATAAGATAAAGAGATTAAAATTTGGTTCATGTGATGCAAGTCGCCAACATCTCTTTTTTCTTCCTCATCACAGAAGCTCCTGAAGTCTTTACAAATAAGGACAAAATAAAGAAGGAGGTCAAGACCGCCCTGAAGGAGAATGCCATTTTGACCTGCCAGGTGGCCACTCCGGACACTCAGGTGGAATGGTACAAAGATGGACAACCCGTCCCCATCAGCAAACACATCAAGATGGAATCAGATGGAACCACTCGTAAACTGTACCTGGAGCAAGTGGCAATGAAGGACGTTGGAGAGTATACCTGTGAAGCAGGTGGTCAGAAAGTGACTTTCAAGGTGGAAGCAACAGGTGAGTTCTCTTCTCCTTTTCTAATAATGTGTTGCAGCTTCTAAAAAGACCAGTGTAGTCCCAGGTTGTTTCAATTGAGGAAGATCGTGTGAGAGGATAGTACAAGTAATCCTACACATACGACCACAATTGAACCCAAAATTTATGTTGTTAAGTGGGACATTTGTTAAGTGAGTTGCCAGGCATCTGAATTTGATCATGTGACCAATGGGATGCTGCAAAGGGCATGTGAAAAACAGTCATAAGCCACTTTTTTTCTGTGATGATGTTGTAACTTTTAATGATCACTACGTGAATGGTTGCAAGTCGAGGATTACCTGTATGTCTAACCAATCAAAGAGAAGGACTAGGGGTGACACGATAGCAGCCTTCCAATATTTGAGGGGCTGCCACAAAGGAGCGTGGGGGGTTCAACTTGTTCTCCAAAGCACTAGAAGGCAGAGCAAGAAGCAATGGATGGAAACTAACCAAAGAGAGAAGTAACCTGGAACTCTGGAGAAATTTCCAAATGGTGAGTATAATTAATAGAGGAACAACTTTCCAGAGCCTCTGGGTGCCCCACCCCTGCAGGTTTTCAAGAAGGGATTGGACAGCTGTTTGTCCAGGATGGTATCGGGTCTCTTGCTCGAACAGAGGGTTGGACTAGAAGTCTCCAAGGTCCCTTCCAATTCTAGTATTATCATTCTATGTTCTATGAGGTATTGATGGGGAAGAGAGTTAGATTCACCACCAACTTAACAAACTGCCTTGCTTAGCAACAGACATTCCTGTCTTAAGTGTGATCATAAGTTGAGGACTTGCCTGTGCTTATTTTCCCATTGGTCTTCCAGAACCAGAGGCCAAACTCCAAAGAAAAGCTGCTCAGGAGGAGACCGTTGTTGCTCAGGAGCACCAGGAGGTCACCTTTTCCACCATGGTATCACCTGAGGATGCTGAGGTCAAATGGTTCAAGGACGGAGTTGAGATCCAAGATGGTAAAAACTATGAGGTCAAGAAGGAAAAGGAGACTAGGACCTTGATTGTGAAGACAGCCGAAACAAAAGATGCTGGTCTGTACACCTGCGAAACTATGAGTGAGAAACAGCAGTTCCAACTCAAGGTGGAAGGTGAGAGACCAACAGAGGTGGCCATCCTGAAATGTCAAAGCAATTTGGTGAAGATTGCAAGGCCAACTAACATGAGACAGAAAGATCAGATCAGTCAAAGATGAAATAAATCATCTCAAGCTCTTTCCGGTCTCAGAATAATGTGGTATCAAGAGCTATGTGAGTCAGTAGTTACTAGTTCTGTGGAGTCCTTGGTGCTCTCTGAGCTTGGTGGCTTTTCTTGCAGATGTTCCATGATCTAAATAGGAACATCATCAGTGCTAGAAGGGAATGGGGTTTGCAGAAAGGAAGTGAAGAAGAAGAAGGAGAACTGTGGGGGTCTATAGTGGTCTCTGAGCTTGGTGGCTTTCCTGTACTCAACTAAGGAACTGACTCAACTAAGGAACATCATCAGTGCTAGAAGGAGGTTGTTTTTGCAGAAAGGGGGATATTTGTAACTTGAGGTTGAACTGTGGGATCCTGGGTGGTCTCTGAGCTGGGTGGGTTTCTTGCAAATATTTCTGCAGGAACATCATCAGTGCTAGAAAGGAGTGGAGTTTGTGGGAAGGGAGAGGAGGAGGAGGGAGAGGAAGAAGAGGACTGTGGGGTCCTTGGGGCTCTCTTAGCTTGTTGCATTCTTGCAGATATTTCATGAATGAATTAGGTAACACCATCAGTGCTAAAAGGGAGAGAGGTTTGATCACATTCCATAGATGGGTCATGAAATGTCTGTAAGAGACTAACCAAGCTCAGAGAGCCCCAAAATCCCCACAGTCCTCCTCCTCCCCCCCCACCCCCTATGATGTCCCCTATTTGGATCATGAAATATCTGCAAGAAACCAGCCCAGCTCAGAGATCACCATTGGATCCCACAGTTCAACCTCGAGCTACAAATATCCTCTTCTGCTACATACTGTTCAAAACTTAGAAAAATGTCTTCCTTAAGCCAAAAATGTATCCATCAGATAAATCATTGGACAAAGAGAACCTCTGTGTTCAGCACATTTTATACCACTGGACATTTGATTTAAAAAAAAAATCTAAATAAATACCGTACTATATGATCTTTCTTTTGACCTATTTTTTTTTCCTGTCTTCCAATTCTCCTGCAGAAGTACCGGTTAAGTTTGCCAAAAAGCTAGAGCCCATAAAAGCTGAGCTCGGAAAAGCTTTGAGCTTGAGTTGTGAACTCAGCCAGCCCGAAGGCACGGTTGTGTGGCGCAAGGATGGAACAATCCTTAAAGCCAGCAAGCACTACCTAATGCAAGAAATTGGTGCCAAGAGAGTGCTGGTCATCTCCAGCTTACGAGCAGAGGACAAGGGAGAATATTCATGCGAGACAAGGAATGACCAATGCACCATTCAAGTCACACCCACAGGTACTTTTTGATGTTATGGGGTAAGCGGTAGTGCCACAGAAAGCAGCTATGGTGAACGAGAGAACATCAGTGTTAGAAGGGAGTGGGCGTTTGTGGGAGGGAGGAGGAGGAAGAGGGGAAGGAGGAAGAGAAGGAAGAGGTGGAGAAGGAGGGTAGAAGGAAGAGGAGCAAAGGAGACAGAAGAGGAGGAGGAGGGGAGAAGGGGGAAGAGAAGGAGGACTGTGGGTTCCTTGGTCCTCTTTGAGCTTGACTGCTTTCTTCCAGATGTTTCATGACCAAGCTAGAAGGGAGTGGGGTTTGTGGAGAGGAGAAGAAACAGGCGGTGGAGGAGGAGAAGGAGAGGAGGAGGAAGAGGAAAAGGAGGGAGGAGGAGGTGATAAGTCCTTGATGCTCTGTGAACTTGGTATCTTTTTTGTAGACGTTTCATGATCCAACTTAGACTGTCTGCTATTGACCTCACCCCCTTCCTAAGAGGCCTGTAGCGGGGCGTGCATAAGCGCACCAATCGTGCCTACCGTCCCTGTCCTATTGTTTCTTTTTATTTTTCTTATAAGTCTCTATCTCATGTATTCAAAACTATGTTTATTCTTATACCTGTATCTTGTAAGTGATTGACAAATCAAACAAACAAACAAACAAACAAATAAAACTAGATAACATCATCAGTGCTAGTAGGAACTCGGGTTTCTTCTCTGTTTATCTGCAAATAACTTGCCTGTCAGCGATAAGCCAGAGCAAACCACTTGTCCATCAACAAAGAATAAACCCCACTTCCTTCTAGCACCAAAGATGTTCTTAGTTACAATGTGTGCTGATTTGGAAATTCCTCCTTGTCACTTTCTAACAAATGCAAGTCTGCAAGCTGAGAGGTCATATTAAGGAGGCCCTCCTCAAACATCCACAAAAGAACAGTTTTCCCCTTCGTGTGATATGTATCCTGCTCTATCCTTCAGCACCTCGCGTTGTGAAGTTTGTCAAGGGCCTCTCCAAAGTTGTGGCAGAAGAAGGCAAAGAGGCCGTTTTTGAATGTACCGTCTCCCCCAGCGACACATCCGTAAAGTGGAGCCACCGCGGCGCCCCGATTGAAGCCAGCAAGAAATACGTCGTTTCTCATCGGGATGTCCATCATAGTCTCACCCTCACTGAATTGACAGTCCAGGACAGCGGGGAAGTCACCGCCGAAGCTGAAGGAGAAGAGAGCCGGGCATACCTCCGAGTGGAAGGTGAGACCAGGGAGCGGGGGTGGTATCGACCAAGGATGGAAGGAAACGTCCAGGTATGGGATCGCATTTCTGGATGCTCTTCTGTTGGTTTGAACTGTTGTTTATTTTATATTTTATTACTTTACTTTTGTTAAATGAATACTTCTGCTGGGGATCCACATAAATAAAGGCTTTAGCATAGTCAATGAAGCAGAAATATTTATTCAGTTTATTTTAGTTTATTTTTTTAATTTATTGCATTTTAATTTGATTTGATTTTACTTTTTATTTTATTGTATTTTAATTTGATTTGATTTTACTTTTTATTTTATTGTATTTTACTTTTTCTCTTATTTTGTTTATTTTGATTTCAGCTTATTCTTATTGTATTTTAGTTTTTCATCTTATTTATATTTAGTTTATATTTTATTTTTCTGTATTTTAACTTTTTATCTTATTCTGATTTTAGTTTATTTTTATTTTATTGTATTTTAACTTTATTTTATTTTTACTTTAGTTTTTTATTTTATTGTATTTTAACTTTATTTTATTTTTACTTTAGCTTTTTATTTTATTGTATTTTTATTTTTTATTTTAGTTTGTTTTATTTTTATATTTTACTTTGCCTTTTATTTATTGTAACTTATTTTATTTTACTTTATATTGTTTTTATTTTATTTTTTATTTTAATTGTTTTATTTTATTTTATTATTTTATAAATTATGTGGCCACCAAACTCACCCAAAGATAACTTTGGACAGTTTATAATATTAAAAAATCCAAAATACCTCCCCATCACTCAGGATGAATATTGTTCCATAAAGACAGGGCCAGCACCGAGGAGGCCCTTTTTCATGGTTTCTCCATAGAGCTAATACATAACATATACAATCTTAATAGATGGAACCCACAACACACCTTGCCTTCTTGTCCTTGTGAGCCAGGTGGGTCTAACAAGGGAGAAGTGGCTTGTTTGCAAATACAGATAGTCCCTCATTACAACCATTTAATAACTGCTTGACGCAGCGGTGGGATTCAAATTATTTTACCACCAGTTCAGTGGGCGTGGCTTGTTGGGCATGCTTTGCCTAACACTGGCCCGCAGCTTTCCCCACACCAGCTGAGACCTGCAGCGCCAATCAGCTGAGAGGATAAAAAAGAGAAACGCACAGGAACAGGTGGGAGGGCCAGTCCTGCGCTTTTCTCTTTTTCCTCTCAGCTGATTGGAGGAGGATTTTTTTCCTCCTCTCAGCTGATTGTCAGCCTTTTTTTACTACTGGTTGGTCGAACTGGTCCGAACCAGTAGCATATCACCACTGGTTTGAACTTGCTGGTTCATATTTATGATGGTTGCAGTGTCCCGGGGTCATGTGATCCCCTTTTGCGACCTTCTGACAAGCCAAGTCAATGGGGAAACCAGATTCACTTAACAACTGTGGACTAGCTTAACAACTGCAGTGTTTCACTTAATGAGTGTGGCAAGGAAGCTTGTTAGAGGGGGTCAAAGTCACTTAAAACTGTGTCTCATTTAGCCACAGAAAGTTTGGACTCCATTGTGGTTGTGAGTCAAGGTCTATCTATACATGCTTGGTGGATCCCTCTCTGTCTGTTTATTTAGCAATGGGAATTTGGGGTTCAGTAATGATAATAGGCTGAGGACTACCTGTAGAAACCTAGTGCCTCGAGATCTTAGAAACAGTGATCACTTTATAGTTCTTGCAAAGTATGTTTTCATGTGAGGAAAAACTTAAAATCCTGATTGGCTAGATAGAAACATTCTTTGGTGTTGGACCACCATCTATTACCCAGAATAAGACGGTAGAACAAACTGTACGTTTTAAAGGCTTCCCCAGTTGAAGAAAATATGAATGCTGGGTGAAAGTTTTCTCCATTTTAAATACAGGTAGTCCTTGACTTATAACCATAAATTGGGACCAGGATTTTCATTGCTAAACAAAGCACTTGTTAAGCAAATCACGGCACACTTTTTTTTGCATTTTTTTTATCATGGATGTTAAGCAAATCACTGCGACCATTAAGTGAATTATGAGGTTGTTAAACAAATCCGACTTCCCTCATAGACTTTGCCGGATGGAAGTTTATTGGGAAGGTTGAAAATGGTGATCATGTGACACTGGAACACTGCAGCTGTCATCAAAATAGGTAATCCTCGACCTACGACCAAAGTTGAGCCCAAAATTTCAGTTGCCAAGTGAGACAGTTGTTTAGTGATTTTAGCACCATTTTACGACCTTTCTTGCCATAGTTGTCCAATTGAACCACTGAAGTTGTTAAGTCAGTAACATGGTTATTAAGTGAATCTGGCTTCCCCATTGACTTTGTTTGCAGAGGGTCGCAAAAGCAGATCACTTGATCGCAGGATACTGTAATTGTCATAAATGTAAACCATTTCCAAAATATCTGAATTTTGATCACCTGACTATGAAAATGCTGCAACGGTTGTAAGTGTGAAAAACACTCATAAGTCATTTTTTTCCCTACCATAGTAATTTTGAACAGTCATTAAATGAATGGTTGGAAGTCAGGACTACTTGTACATGCTGGTTGCCAATCATCCAAATTTTGATCAGATCACTGTGGGAAAGTTGTGATGGTTGTAAGTATGAGGATTGGTCTTAAGTCACTTTTTTCAGTGCTGTTTTAACTAGGAATGGTGGATAAACGAATGGTCTTGTTGAGGACTACCTGTATCTGTTGTGGTTTTGATCTATCTGATGCTTTTGGTCTTTCTCATAATCAGAAGCGCCAGTATTATTCGTGAAGAAGTTGGAGGCCAAAGTTGTAGAAGAGAAGCAGACGATTGTCCTCGAAGTTGAGCTATCTAAGCCAACCCCAGAGGTAAAGTGGACAAAGAACGCGAGTATCCTTCACCCGACGGCCAATCTGGAGATCCAGGCCCAGGGAACAAAGCACCGCCTGGTGATCAGGAGCGCATCCTGTGACGATCGTGGATTTTATTCCTGCGAGACCCTCCATGATAAGACGCAAGCCAAGGTCACTGTAGACAGTAAGTCCTCTCTTGGGGCCAATTCTGAGGAATGCAACCCTTGTGAGAATTGTAGAAGGTTGGAGGGGACAGTGGAGAGCTTCTAGACTAGGCCAGGAAGACTTGGACCATCCCAGATCAATAGTTGTCCAAATTTGCTTGGAAACCTTTAGGGGTGGAACCCCAGGATTTCAGGAGGAAAGTTGTTCCACCATTTTATAATTTTCATGGTTGGGAAATTCTTGGCATTCTCTGAGCTGGATGGTTTTCCTGCTAGATCTAGAATTGATGATATTACCTAGTTGGGTCATGAGACATGTGTGAGAAAATAGCCAAACTTAGAAAGCACCAATTCCATAGAGAATGAATGAACCATTGAATGAATCAAGGCATAAATGAATGAGTGTAGATATAGAGCTAACTCTTCTAGCATTGATGATGGGGACAACTGTGGTTTTCAAATGAGGTCAAACGGCATGCAGATTTGGTTGGCTTCACGGTGAGGAGCAGGAGATCCTATGTTCCTCTCAACTGAAGAGTGATATATATGAGACCTTTGACCTGAGTGTGTCTCATCCATCTTGTTCTATTTCCTAGTGAGACCCATCAAACTGATCAAAGGCCTGCAACCGACAGATGTTTATGAGAAAGAACCAATCACTTTTGAGGTGGAACTGTCCCATGAAGATGTGGAAGCAGTTTGGATGAAGGATGGTCTCCGTCTCAAGTCTCAGGACAACTGCCAGATATCTGTCCAAGGGAAGAAGCACTCACTGACCCTCTCGTCCCTGACATTGGAAGATTCAGGCCTTATTTCCTTCAAGGCCGAAGGGATTCACACCACCTGCAGGCTCAATGTGAAAGGTAACCTCGTTTAAATTACAAGCAGTCCTCAACCCCATAGCCAGAGAATTTCTTGGAAACCTGACATTCAGACAAATCAGCCATCAACAGACACATAGAGATAAACATCCACACACTATTTAAAACAGACAGTCAAAAAGCTGAAAGATCACATCTCCTGACAAGCTAACGACTCCCAGATAAGCAGAATTTAACACCCAGCAGTAAATAATATCCATACAGGAACTACTAACACAGTAAAGAACAGCCTAAACAAGGAACTACCAAGAACATTTCCATAAACGGGGCAGTGACTAGTATATAAAATGAGAGCAAATCTCACTCCCTTGTGATGATTTTACCTAGGTGGGTCATGAAATGTCTGCAAGAAAACCACCAAGTTCAGAGAGCACCAAGGACCCCCACTCCTCCTTCTCCTTCCTCCTCCCAACCCCCTCCCTTCGAACACTGATGATGTTACCTTATTGCATCACAAATTATGATCACATAAGCATGGGAATGCTACAACAGTCAGAAGTGTAAAAAACAGCCTTTTTCAATGCATTGTATCTTTGAACAACCACTAAACAAATTATTGTTAGTTGAGGACTAGCTGTAATGTGTTTTCTCTCTTTTCTAAGTGTCTTCTCACTTAGGGAGAGAAGACCTACGTCAGGGAGAGACCTATGTTCTACTTAATGCACAAGTAAAATATATTAATTTATCTTTGTGTCTGATGCTATTTTGGCCAGTGCTAGACCAGGCTAAGAAATTTATCCTGATATTTGGCTAATATTTCAATTGCTTACATGTTATATTTCTCCTTGGCAGAATCCCCTGTGAAAATCATCACACCTTTAAAAGATCTCAAAGTTCAGAACAAGGATGACGTGACCCTCGAGTGCGAACTTTCCAGGGCCAACGCGGAAGTGAAGTGGCGTAAGGTATTGAATTTTGTTAAATATAAGCTGTGCACTTCACTTCAGTGCCTGAAGTTGCTTGAACCTCTGTCTTGTAAGATCGCATCTCCTCGACTTACAGCAGTTCATTTATTTATTTATATTAGAAAATTTATATTGCCGCCTATTCGCCATGGTGACTCAAGGCAGCTTACGCAAATATAAAAACATCATATAAAAATAAAAATAATAAAAGAAAATAATAAAAAATAATAAATTAATGAAATAGTAGCTCCCCACATACCCCCATCCTGGTGACAGCACATATTTATACAAGCATTTAATCGTCTCTATCCAGCTCTGGGATCCCCAGGTCCATTGGCAGAATCATGTCCCTTAGCACCTTCCAGAAGAGTGTTAGAGTGGGGGCCAATTTAGTGACTGTTCAAAGTTGCAAGGGCACTTATAACCATTTTTAACACTTACAACTTTTGCAGCATCCCCATGCCACATAATCATAATTCAGACACTTGACAACTGACTCATATTTATGATAGTTGCAATATCCTGGGGTCACGTAATCCTCTTTTGCAGCTTTCTGAAAGGCAAAGTCAACGGAGAAGCCAGACTCACTTAACAACTCTGTTGATAACTTAACCACTGTGGTGATTCTCTTAACAACTCTGGCAAGGAAAGCTGTACAATGGAACAAAACTAATTTAACTGTATCTCACTTAGCCATAGAAATTTTGCGCTCAATTGTGGTCATAAGTCGAGGACTACCTGGATCTCAGGATCTATCTCAAAGCTTTTCTGTCAATAAATTCCTCTGTGGACTTCTTGATTTTAGAATGGAGTGGAGATCCGGCCAAGTAAAAAGATGGTCATCGCTTCTAGAGGAACAAAGAGAAGCATCATCATTCATACATGCGAATACGAAGACCAAGGAACATACATGTGTGATGCGGTAGATGATAAGAGCTCAGCTGTTTTGGAGATCTATGGTACAAATGCCCTCCCTAAATCCCTAAATTTGTTGGAGTCAGGTTTCCTTTCTTGGAATCTCATCCAAGGAACAAGAATTTATGAGCTGTGATTAACAGTATTTAATGTAATAGAATATTAAATCACAGTAGAATTCCTTAGACACAACAGACCCAGTGCCCACCTTAGGCAAAAAAGCTAGTTGGGCCAATCACTAGCAGATTGTGTGTTCTAGTTCCACCTTTGCTACAAAAGCCAGCTGGGTGACTTTGGGCCAGTCTTCTTCTCCCAGCCCAACCCACCTCACAGAAGAAAAGAGAAGGAAAAAGGAGTATTAAGTATGCCTGCTGCTTTGAGTTACTTAGGAAGCAATAAAGTCAGACTGAGAACCAAATAAATACATGTAATTTAAGGAAGCAAAATTCTCCATTTATTTATATTTTGTCAATGCAGAATGGAGAAAGTCGCCTTCTTTGTGAACCATCAGGATAAATTACATCTGTTTGTTGTTCTGATAAGCACTGGGCTTTGTATCAATGTGAAAATATTTATCCAAGATATGCTAGCTATTTATATACAGTGCCAGGATATAGATCGGGGTGTCCAACCTTGGCAACTTTAAGACTTGTGGACTTCAACTCCCAGG